TGTGTGTGTGTGTGTGTGTGTGTTCTGGGAGGGATGACATCAAGTTTGTGTGCCCGTCTTGTTAAAGTTAAGCCCGTTGCCCACAGGGCAGCGGCCGGTGGATTCCTCATCCTTCAGCTACTGTGTTCATGTCACTAAAACAGAGCGCAGTTGATGCAGCAGGAAGGGGAAATGCAGGTGCTTGTGTTTACTTCTCTTTGAACATCCCTCCCTCCCTCCTCGTCTCGGCGTTTCCTCTCTTCAGCACGGAGGAATGCAGATAAATATTGATTGAAAAAAGCTTTCAGGACAGAACAAGATGAAAAAAAAAACGTATCGCAACAGGAAGGAAATTAAATAGTGTCACAGTGAAAAGAAAGAGGAAGGACAGGCTAATCCTTTAATTTAATTAGGTAAATTACAACAAAATATCCTTTCAAAATCTGTTTGTCTCCTCTCGTCTGCCTCCTCCCTCCTGCTTTTTTTTTCTTCCTCTCGCTGGAAGGCTTTCGTCTTGTTACCAAGCAACAGAGAAACAGTTTTTCTTTGGTTTTGCCAACGGGTCCCAGAGGGCACAGTGGAAGCTCTGTGGCATCTGCCAGCAGCCGGGCGCGTGGCCACAGCTGGCTCGGGGTGAGCAGCAGCAACAACACTTCCCATCAGGCACCTGGGCGGTGGGACACCTAAGACTCGCTGAGTGCTACAGGTGAATAAGAAGTTCCAGAGGGGCTGAAAGGATGAATTGACAAGTCTTCTAACCTGCGATGACTCATCAAGAAGCCACTTCTTCAGACGCTGAATCACAAAGTTGCACAGAAGTTCCAACAAACAAACAAAACTTTAAAAAACAAAAAAGAACGAGATGGAAAATGAGTTCACCCCCAAAAAATGTTGACAGGCCCACAATGGAAATCATTTTGGCAATAAGTATGCTAATCAAAGCCTCCTCTGAAATGGATTCCTCTGCTCTTTTATTATGTTGTTTTTTTCCTCTCCACCAGTGATTGACACATTGTAATCTTGCTAATAAGCACCTCCAGTGTCTCCTTTTTCCTTCCTATTGTGTTTGTGTTTCAATAGGGCCAGCTCGGCAGGTGCGCCGAGTGTTTGGTTAGTGCTCAATATAGAAGCTAATCTCAGTTAGCTGCTATTATCCTGAAATGCAGGCGTCCCGACAAAGCTGTCAGTCTGCAAAAAATAAAATAAAATAAAAATGGACCCCAGAGGTCAGCAGCCAATCAAACCTCACATTATTCATTTCCACCCTCCCTCCCAACCAATCATCCACATCATTACTGGCCTGTCTCTGGTCATTAGGACGTGTCTTGGGCTGCCAGTACCTTCCAGGACCCTTCTCTTTATGTCCTGTCATCGGATTTTTAAAATAAGCCTTGAATGAATTGACTTTGCTTTTGGAGACTGAGAAAAAACAGGATTTAATGAAGCAGTGTTGAAAATTGTCACTTTGTGCACATTTTATTCAGATTTTGTGCTGGAATGATAATAAATTTCAGCTCAAATGCTCACAGAATAAAATGAAAACRTTAATTCCTTGTCACCACTGGTTGTACAGGTGTAGTAATAAGCTTAAGGGGTGAAGAAATAAATCCCTTTTTGGTGTGTGTTCTAGTGAAATCTGGAGTGAAAAAATTGTAAAACTGACTTAAAGTGATAGTTCAGATCCCCTTTCTGTGAAAGGTCCAACATGTTGTAGATATACAGTGGCTATTGGATGATCTCAGTTTGGAGAAAATAAATAAAAGTCTTAGGGCCCCTTTTTTCAGAAATAAATGTGGAAAAATGTAATGCAAGTGATGGGTGAGAAGGTGTCTGGAACATGGCTGCCATCTTGAAAGCTGCCATACTAGATCAAAGTCTAATAGTTCCAATGAGAAGGAGCTCTTTGAGCACATCAGAGAAAACCAAAATAGTTTTAGAAATTGATTGCTGCAATCAGACGTGCAATATCTCTTGTGGTTCAAAAGTTAACAACACAGAAAGTTTCAATCACAAAGAAACTGTTCAGCACCAGGGACAGCGCACTAAACAAGTCAGCTGTGCATCACAGGCAACATTCCCATTWGTTGCTGCAACTTTCTGTTTTTGTACAAAGGGTGTCCTGAGACTTTTGACTCAGCCTGTATAATTCTGACAGGACCGACAAGCTAATGGCTAGTTTGAACGTACCSACGTGGATGGCTGCCATCTTGAAACAACTCAGTTGTCAAAGGATTTCAAGTTGATAATTTTAAGTGCATGTCAAACTCAAGGCCCGTGGGCCAAATCTGGCCCTCATTAACATTTTATCTGGCCCCAGAGGAAAGATTTTAAATTGAAAATAATTAAATGATTTTTCTTTTTGTCACTGTATTTGGTGCATACTTCTCATGACCGTAAACTTTAACAAGTTAAGTAGACTTTACTGTGTTGTTCTTCTAGTCTTAAGTTAAATAATTTGATTTTTTTTGTGATGATTTCTTTTTTTAACTGATTGGCTTATTGTGATCACTCTTAGCATATCGAGCCAGCATTGGCCTTGTAAGTGTTGTTTGTTGTCATGTTAGAATTTGTGTGTGAATTATTTACTGTCAGACATTTCCTTTTCTTTAATTGCTTTTTTTGTTATTTATKGAGCAATGACCCAATGTTAAAGACCAAGACTTTCGAGGAGGATTTAAATGGAAATATTCAAAAATCCACTGTGCTCGCCTTGCCCACCATCCTTCAGGCTGGCATTGCAGTTGAATTAATTTCCCTCATCAAGCACATAACTTGGAGATAATCAGCTTGATTTGTAGTGACTTCTGAGAAGGTCAGCTGCTGCACAACCAGGCAGATGGTTGAGGTCTTCCACGCTCCTCGGCCCCATGCTTAGCACACTGAAGCCTTCAGCTTTCACTTAATGTTTCTCTCACAATAACCGAGAGCGACTCTTCTAACCTGGATTTGGGCCAAGTTGCCTTTTCTGGTTWTATTCCTTTCATAAAAAGTCTATAAAGTCCAAAATAAATCAAACACGGCKTTTCTGCAAAGCTAAAAATCACATTTTAATGTAATTATCACAGGTGTTCAGTAGCTTTAAGAACAGCTGAGAAGCTCATTTTATCGTTTTTGGATTGGACGTCCCAATATTTCACAAGCGTGACATTTCAATATGTAAATGGCGTACAGTGTGCCGGGGAAAGGAGAGGAATGCATTACCCATTACAGCTTAAAACTGAGTTGAATTAAAAGGATAGTATTTCTTGAGGTAATGCCTACTGTTAAGTATATAAAARTATTTCTCTGTTTATTATGTTTTCAGTCTTTAATTCTAAAGGGAGTGGTAGGAAAGAATGTTGTTGAAATGGAGGGAAAAATAGACAAAAGAAATAAGTGGTGACACCTTATTACCCACTGCCTTTTAAACTAAGATTATTCATCTGATGTCATTACCACATTGCTTAAAGTCCAGTGTAAAGTTCTCACAGTCAGTGATGATTTGGGGTGTTGTTTCCTCCCAGAGGTGCTGGAAGAGGTGGCTGGGGATAGAGAGGTCTGGGTTTCCTTGCTGAAGCTGCTGCCCCTATGGCCTGACTTCCAATAAAACAGAAGATGATGTATGGATGGCTTTGTTGGCTATAACACTGTAAAAATAACTTGTAAGATTTACTAGAGAAAATCCTGTAAACGATTTGCACTAACGTTTGGTAAGTAAATTTAAATGCTACAAATTCATGTAATATTTACTCTCATCATTATCTAGTAAAAGGTATTAAGAATATAGTTAAAGATTTGTGAATAAATCAGGTAACTTTTACTTAATGTGCTCAATTAAATAATGTAACATGTACTTGATCAAATTAAGTAAAATTTACCTGATTTATTCACAAATCTTCAAATATATTCTTAATAACTTTTACTAGATAATGATGAGTAAGTATTATATGAATTTGTAGCATTTAAATTAACTTAACCAACATTAGTGCAAATTGTTACGAGGATTTTTTCTAGTAAATCTTACAAGATATTTTTACAGTGTACTATAT